CTGGGATCGAGTCCCGCATCGGGCTTCCTGCTCAGCAGGGAGTCTGCTTCTCCCTCTGACCCTCTTCCCTCTCATGCTATCTCTCATTCTCTCTCTCTCTCAAATAAATAAATAAAATCTTTAAAAAAAAAAAGATTTTATTTATTTATCTAACAGAGAGAGAGAGCACAAGCAGGGAGAGATGTGGGGCTCTCGAGGCTCAATCCCAGGACCCTGGGATCATGACCCGAGCTGAAGGCAGATGCCTAACCAACAGATGCCTTAACCACCCCGGTGCCCCAATGGAAAAATTATTTTTGACTGAAAAATTAAAGAACAAATTTTTTTATGAAATTTAGGTCTGAAAATTTTGAGCTACAGAAATTAGAAATGGCTGAAATAAAGACATAAAGCAAAACAATGGCAGAATCTATAATTGGCAGAATTTTATATACACAAAGATTACATTGATATTAAATTTGACAAATTTGAATATAACAAAACTAAACTGTTAAACAGTTCATATTAAACCACTTAAAAGAGTATTTCAGTAATTTTTTTTAATGGAAACATTTAGAACTATTTAACGGTGCCACATAAAAAAAAATTGGCCAAAAAACCAAACTGACTTAATGGAACCTTACCCAGAAATTATATTCTTCATAAAAAGAAGGAGGTAGACATAATTCTTTTTCAGTGATTACACATATTAAATTAGTAAGTTCATAAAGCATCTCAGTTGTCAAAATCATTAACACAATTTAACAGTTACCTTGCAGTTTATAAGTCACATTTTGTAAAGGAGGAAAATATCAAAACCCTGTGAAAAAGATCCTAATGGAGCCATAAAGAGGAGACTTTATCTGCAGACATTTCAGTCAAGTAAGTAACAGAGTAAAGGTCTTTTCTTTCCTCTCTGAAGACCTGCATCAGTGGAAATACTCTGCTAAGTATCAGTGGGAAGGTTAGCACATTCTGAAGATTCACAAGTTGGTTATATAAAGTGCAAGAAGGGCAACACCTACCTTCCTTTCACCTCAAAGTCGTAGGCTTTTCGGGTTTTTATTCTTTTTCAGTTTTTAAGTAATCTCTACACCCCACATGGGGCTCAAACTCACAACCCCAAGATCAAGAGCCAGCTCACACTCTACCAACTGAGCCAGCCAGCCAGGCACCTCTCAAACTTGTAGGTTTTGTATCAATGATTTTCTGTCTTCAGTACCATACCACTGGCTTTCCAGACACTATATCTTCAGTAAGAAATAAGCAGTCTTCTATACAACTAACTTTAAAAATCGTCACCCTCTGGGGGTGCCTGGCTGGCTCAAGCTGGAAGAGTGTGGGACTCGATCTCAGGGTCAAGCCCTATGTTGGGGTGTAGAGATTACTTAAATAAATAAAATTTTAATAAACAAATCTTCACCCTCTGCCTTGCACTGAGGCTTGAACCTCCCTCCTCCCCAAGAACCCCATATAGTGTTGTTCTGGCCTTTGCTTGTTTTTGTCATTCCACCACACAGTCCATTACACTGGTTATCTTTTCACATTGATCCATTTCCAACCAAATATGTACACTTCACACAATTACAGATTATAAATCTGGAACAAGAACCTGGCATCAAATGGAGATTTTTCATCCGGAGTGATTTTATCCCTTAAGACCTTTCTAAGCCCTGTGAAGTGCCATCTCAACGATGGGCTCATAATGCCTGTGCCAAGCACTGTATTATTAACACTTGAAGACGACCTGGTGAATTCAAGTTCTGCCTCTTTCACTCAGGTCTTCAGCCATATTCACCATTCTTCAGAAACTGGAGTGGTAGGATCCTCTAGTTTTTCGTTATAACCTATTTCCAATTTCTTCTTTTTTTTCTTTTGTTAATCTTTCCAACACAATTTTCTTCCTGAACCTTTTTTAAAATTTCACTCTTGCCCTCTTCATTCACATCCTCTCCCTCCTCCAGCAGTCTACCCTGGTGCCAACACCACTTTTCCCTTCACACCAGACCCTCCGGGGAGAACAAACCCCTTCACCTCAGCATGGATCAGTATTAGTACAAATCCTATATAAATGTTTGAAAAGTTTAGGGTGTTTTCAGGTTAAGATCACAGAGAGAGGCAAGGAAATTGCAGGTGTTTGCAAAAGGAATACTGAACTGATAGAGCATGGACTCTAAGCTAGACAAAGAGGGAAGTGCTGTTAGAAAGTACAGCAGACACCGGTAACGGATGGGCAGGTCCCTCTGAGACAGAAGAACTGCTCCAAAGGTGTGGTGTGAGGCTCACAAGGGTCAGTAAAAACAGCCACTATTTCCAACAACGCTGTGAGGCACAGTTCCCAAATGTTCAACAGGCCAAACACTTTAGTAAACTGGTAATAGAACTGTAAAGGGGAGGGGCGCCTGGGTGGCTCAGTGGGTTATGCAGCTACTTTCGGCTCAGGTCAAGATCCCAGGGTCCTGCTCAGCAAGGAGCCTGCTTCTCCCTCTGCCTCTGCCTCCCACTCCCCCTGCTTGTGCTCTCTCCCTCTCTGTCAAATAAATAAATAAAATATTAAAAAAAAAAAAAGGAACTGTTAAGGGGAGAAGGAAAAAAAGGGGGCCCTGAAGGGGCAGGGAGAAGAAAAAAAAGAACTGTAAAGGGGAAAAAAATGTCTTTACTCTAAAAATAATCTATTGTAACCAATGTTAAAAGCTGTGCCTTTTACCTAAATATAATCAAAAACAAATACCTGAAATTCCAAAAGATAATTGTATTTCTTCAAACTATTCGTACTAACCCACTATTATAAGGCATTGAACAGGTTTATGGAAAAAATTCTACTTTTTTTAAAAAACATTATTTTCAAAGAATTATAAATAGTTCCCTCCAAAAACCCAACCTCCCTAACCCACCGTTCAAATAAGTAGGTTTAATATAAAGTCTGCACAACTCATGTGCCACACACACATGACCCCATGTACAAAACATTACTCACATTTTCATACCCGGTGGGACTTTTAAACATTTTCTTTTAGCAAGAAAAGAACACTTAAGTACTTAATTTCATGAACGTTAACTATATGCAAAAGAATGATTAAATAATGTAATCTGTGTGTGGCATTTAACAGTATCAAATGTGATTTTCCACAAGCCGTTCAGTCCAGCTCTCCCTAACACCTTATTGTTACAGCGCTGTGCTGCGAATTCCTGGCGGGCTGCAACAGCAAACTCAACTGCTCCGCAGCATCTATGGAGAGAAGCCCCTGCAGAAACGTGCCATCAGTCTTAACCTGCGGACAGTGTTTTGTCCCTCATCCACACAGTGAACTGGGGGACACCACTAATCGGAAGATGACCACCAAGATTTTCAAGTGCAAGTGCAAAGCAAGTGAACAGCCTACCAGAGCCACCCGAAGGAAGGTGCCAAGAGACTGAGAAAAGAGGAAGGAAGCGCTCTCACTAAAGCTCTCCCGTGTCCAGGACTTTGCAAGAACGCGGGGCACACACATCGTAACATGACCTTCTCATATCACGACGCGGCTCGGAAAGGTCGCGCAGCTGCTGTGCAGTGCGGCCGGGGTCCGCTGCTCTCCCCGCTGGTTGGGCCCAGCGCAAGGAGGACACAGCGCCCGCACGACTGCCCCTAGGCCAGGCCGCGCCAGCCCTGCGGAGCCCAAGCCCGCGCGCGGAGCGTGCAGAGCGGGGCGGCCGGGCGCGGAGAAGACACTCCGGAGGCACGGGTCCACCTCGGAGGCACACAATTCCGGGGACACTTCTAAGGTCACACCTTAGAGGCCACCATCCTGGATTTACGGGGCGTTCGCTGGAACGGAAACAGATGAAACTTCCCGAGTCGCCGCGCGCTCCCACGACAAGCTCAGCTTCAGCTGACCGGGCTGGGCACGGGAGCCTGCTGCTGCGAGGCTGGGCTACCGGACCTCTCAGCTCCCGCCCACCACGTAACCTGGGGCTCTGAGCGAGGCGCCGTCCCCCCGCCCCGGACCGACCCCAGCCCTCCATCGACAGCAAGGACCAGGGCACGCGGGGTCGGGGGTGGGGGGCGGGGGTGGGGGGCGGGCGCGAGGCAGCCAGGCCCTGCGGGCACGCCCCCAGTCCCGCTCGGAGGCCATGGCCCCCTGCACCCCGGGTGCCCCTCGGGGGTGAAAGATGACCGCCCGGCACTCACCTGTCCTGCCGCCGCCGTGCCCGCCGACCCCCAATGCCAACCGGGCCCTGCGCTACAGCCCGCCCGTTCCCAACCACACGGCGCCCGCGACAGACCGGGAGACGCCGGACACCGAATCTCCGCCCTGACGCGGCCCCACGACCCGGCAGCCCGACGCCCTGCACTTCCGACACAGCCGGAAGCTCCGGCCTCGCCTCGCGCCCAGGCCGCCGGAAGTCGCGCGACGACCTCCGCCCCGCGCCGGAAGTCCCTCCCGCGGCCTCCATCTCAGCCGCGACCGCCGGAAGTCCAGCCCCCGTCCTGCGCTCGCGCCGGAAGTCCCGCGACCGCCCGCTCTGGCCGCGCCCCGGCGCGCGGGGAGCCGGGGGCAGTGGGGGCGCGGTGGCGCTCCTGTGCGCCCGTGACTGCCCGCCCCCGCCCCACCGGGTAGGTGCTCGCCCGAAGGTGCGCCCGGAAGAGCCGAGCCGCGGACTGGGAGGAGCGGGGCGCCGGCACTCGCAGGGAGCCCGCGGGCGCGGCCCCCGGTACTCACTGCGGCGGGCTCCCGCGGGGGTCCTCGACCCCCACAGGTTCGCGTCCATCGGCTCGGGTCGGGGGGACCGCTGACGGGCGTCCAGCCCTGTGTGCTCCCCGCGGCCGCAGGGCTGCCGGCCGCGACTCTTCCCCGCGAGGCTGTGGCGGAGGCTGCCGGTCCGCACGGGCTCCCGGTGGAGGTAGAACTATTAATATTTCAGCTTATCTGCAGAGGATGACTCATCCACTTTCCTTTCTGAAATATTTGTTCGCCATTGGCTAAAAAGAAAAAACAAAATCAGCTGCTCACTGCAAAAGGTGGGACTTACTCGTCTTTGATCTAGGTTGGAAAAGGGACGTAATGGACTGGAGACCTTACAAGAGCGACCACCCTCCTCTTACAAACAACTCTGCCTAGGCGTTTAAAGCTGACCTACAGTAAATGAAAAGCAAGAAAACATTTTCCTGATACGTGGGTCAACAGTCTCACTCCTTCCTTTAAAAACGAAAGCTCGCCCTTTAAATTCAAGAAGCCCTCCTAAGATGATTGCACAAGAAACAAATTTAACATTTTGGGATCCAAATAACCACAAACTAGAATAAATCCTGAAGTTATTTACATATTTAGTAAAAGCTCAGCTTAGCGCTAAGAAACCCTTCTGTAAGGGTTTCAGACTTTTGGAGGTTGTGGCAAACATTTCACCAGGAGGATCGTTTTCCTCTGCCCTTCAAGGTTCTTCTGGCTGGTGGAAGAGTTACAGTGAAGACATGAGACAGATTAGCAGGAGAATATCAAATTTAATTATAATTATGCGTGTATGAGAATCCACATAAACATGAGAGATTCCAAAGACAGTCGAAATAAGGCTCATAAGTCACCCTGAACCTAGGAGAAGGGGGTCTGGGACTTAAAAGGGAGAGCAACTCACAGGAGGGTGGAAAATAAATGTTTGCGAAGTCGCCCAGGAGCAATGAGACACAGAGAGGACTTTGATGAAACAGACGTAGCTAGTTTCCTCCCTGCCCACCGGGGACTTGACGGCTTCCCAATGCTTAAAGACTTTTTTTTTTTTTTTTAGATTTATTTATTTATTTATTTCACAGAGGGAGAGCGTGTGCGCTCACAAGCCGGGGGAGGGGGAGCAGCAGGTAGAAGGAGAGGAAGAAGCAGGCTCCCAGCAGGCTCCAAGGGAGCCCAATATGGGACTCGATCCCAGGTCCCTGGGATCATGACCTGAGCCAAAGGCAGGGGCTTAACCAACTGAGTCACTCAGGCGCCACAGGACTTTTCTGATGACATTAGTGGTGATGTTAACAAAGATGATTGGTATTGAATAATGAAATGTGTCAACATCTGCAAGATCTGCTTAATTAGTGAAGTACTATTTTCCAAGTGACCCAATATTACAAAATCATGCGTGGGAACATCTGCATTCAAACTTTCAGTCCATAGCAATGAATGTTAATTTAACAGTATAAAATGCTCATTGCTGTGGTTTTGATATAGAAAAGACATTAGGGTTTGAAGCCCACAGTCAAGAAAGAGTTCTTAAGATGTCTTTGGTGCAAAAAGGTGGTTTTATTAAAGCACAGGGACGGGACCCATAGGCAGAAAGAGCTGCACCGGGGTCATGAGGAGTGGTTCATGATACACTTTCAAGTTGGGAGGGGGTTGGGGATAGCATGTCTCTAAGGAATTTTGGAAGCAAGGTTTCCAGGACTTTGAGGAGGCTAGCTATTGTTGGAAAAGGTTATTTATTACTGTCTAGTAGGACCTTTATCATGAGACCCTTCAGATGTATATTGGTGGGCCATGTGCCGGTGGGGGGGGGGGTGATTGCCAACATGTATTTTGGGGGTTTAGGGATAAAGAAAATTTCTAGAGGAATTTTTATATGTTAAAGTAGACTCACAGGACCCTGGGGGTTGGGCAAAGGTTGCCTTTTGCCCTTAGCAAAGTATTAACATCAAGGCAGTTGAGTCCCTAGAGGAATATCACTCTGCCTTTTTCAAGGACTTGTTAATGGGCTGTGGGGTGAGGGGTTTGATGTGTCTGTGTGTGGGGGTGTGTGGGTGATGTGAGGGGTGTGATGTGGAGTCTGTGGCGGGGTGAGGGGTGTGATGTGGGGTCTGTGTGTAGGGTCCGTGTGTGGGGTGTGAGGGGGATGTGTTGGGTCTGCGTGTGGGCCATACGGCGGGTGTGACATGGGGTACAGGTGTGGGTTTCACGAGATGGGGGTCTGGGAGGGGTGAACGGTGCGGGCGTGCGTGCGTCGCGGCCTTCCGAACCAGGGCACGCCCTGCGCCGTCCCGCGCGGTCCTCATCCAGCCCGCCCTCGGGGGGGAATCGGAGCTCAGCCTGCCGGTCAGCTAACTGCGCAGAAGGCCCCGCGCACACACGTCACGACGTCTCAGAGCCCGAGCGCTCGGGCACCTGGAACGTGCGCTCGCGCGCTGCTCGGCGCCTCTGGCGCGCGGACTAGCGGCTGTGGTCGCGGCCGCTCGCTCCGCCCTCCGTCTCCGGGCAGCCTCCTGAAAACGGCTCTGCAGGGCCCTGAGCTCCGTACAGCGGCGCTCGGAGGGCATAGGGAAGAGCGGAACTTCGGCTCCGTGACGGAGGCCCTGCACACGCCCTCGCGTGACCGTGGCGTCAGGCGTGGCCGGCGCGCGATTGGCCGCGAAGCATGTGGCGCGCTCTGGCGCGGGCACTGAAGGTTGGGCGCGCGGTCCGAAGGGGCGGGCCCCGGGCCTGGGGGCGTGGCCTGCAGGAGAAAAACGCGGCGGAGCGGGGGTCCGCAGAGGGCAACAGCCTGAGGTAGGCCGGCGGGAGTAGGGCGGCGTCCGGCGGGCCCCAGGGGGTCCGGGGCACCGAGTGTGGCCGCCCGCTTGCGCTGCGCCCCGTGCGCCGAGCCGCCCCCTCCCGGGGGACCTTCGGTGTCGGGTGGGAGTTGGGGGGAGGTCCCCCGGGGCCCGGGTGGTGGTTCTCCCGGGGACGGGGGGTCCTGAGCCCCGGTCTTCTGTCGGCGCCAGGGTCACGGGCCGGGCCCGGCGGGCTGCCAGCATGCCGGAGATTGACGTGGACAAGCTGGACGCGCAGCAGGTGCGACTGCTGGCGGAGATGTGCATCCTCATCGATGAAGAGGACCGTCGGATCGGGGCGGAGACCAAGCGGAACTGCCACCTGAACGAGAACATAGAGAGAGGTGCGGGCACAGGCGGCCCCTCGTGCCCGCTGCCCTGTCCGGGCCGTGCAGAGACCCGCTGAGTAGAAGACGATGGCAGCAGGTTCCAGGGGCTCTGGACCGTGGGTAGAGAATAGGGCAGGTAACTGCTGTTTTACAGTAATTTCCCTTCTTTGGCTCGCAGGGTTATTACATCGAGCTTTCAGCGTCTTCTTATTCAACACGGAAAATAAGCTCCTGCTGCAGCAGAGGTCAGATGCTAAAATCACCTTTCCAGGTGAGCGTGCTTCTTCTGCCTGCAGTATTTTGTAGGGAGCCGGATCCGACGTGACTCGGTCCGAGGCGTGCTTGGTAGCCAAAGTCAGAAGGGAAATCCTGTGGATGGCATCATTTCATGTTCCACATAAAGAAGTGTGTGCACTGAGCACAACCTAATGAGCCAGCAGTGAAGACTGCTAGTATGTGTATATTCACATAGATTTCTACTGTATATTTTTATCTGTGTTGTAGGTTTGTCTTTATAGTCTTTGATCTTTCTGGTTAAGACTGCGTTAATAAAGAACTTATCTACACTTGTCTGTTTCACAGAATGATTACCCATAGCTCATTATAACTGATTTAGAAATCTTCATTTTTCTGTTACTTTTAAAACTTTTTTTTTTATCTATTAAACCTATTTGGAAGAAAAGTTAATCTACATGTATATTAACATGTTCCAGGTTGTTTTACCAACACTTGCTGTAGTCATCCGTTAAGTAATCCCCGAGAGCTGGAAGAAAAAGAGGCCATTGGAGTAAGACGAGCGGCACAGAGGCGATTAAAGGCTGAATTAGGAATTCCCATGGAAGAGGTAACCAATTTCACTACACAACTGTACAAGGTGAAATCTTGTTTAGAAATCCAAACATAAGTTAAAACATTTTCATTAAAATTTTAAGTTTAAGGTAGGTCTCTGCTTTATAACTTTGTGAGTTATTGGTCCTAGAAAGCACCTCCATTAAAGATTATTTAAATTTTGACTTCTTCATATTACTTGTGAAGATTTAGCTCAGTGTTAAAATGGGATTGATCTGTTAACCACTATATAAAGTTGATTATTTTTATAATTGAGCAGATCAAAGATGGTAGTTTTCTTGTGAAAATCCTTACGAATATAAACTACAAATCTGATTGGGTAAATTGAAATAATCTTTATTTCCTGGGATTGTCCTCTTTAAATAAGACCTGAGTAAATAAAGTATATCTCATCTAGTTAAAATGGTAAATACTATTCCCCCCCGAAAAGCACTATCAAGATGTGAAGGAGAATGCCACACATTTGAGTGACTGCTTTTTTTTTTTAATACAATTATTTTAATAAAATCAAGCTAAATTCTTGGTCTTGTGGGGAAAAAAAATTTAGGCACTTGAAACTATGTAATAATATCTTCATATATCATCAACAGATTAATATTTTAAGAGTTCTAATTCTAAAACTATGGTTCTGTTGTTCAGGATCTTACTGAAATGTGGTGGGCTGATTTACATTACTTGTGTTGTTGATGTTTTTGCTGTTGTTTTATTTTCATCCTAGGTTCCTCCAGAAGAAATTAATTACCTAACACGAATTCACTACAAGGCTCAGTCAGATGGTATCTGGGGGGAACATGAAATTGATTACATTCTGTTTGTGAGGAAGAACGTAACTTTGAATCCAGATCCCAATGAGATTAAGAGCTACTGTTATGTGACAAAGGAAGAGCTAAGAGAACTTCTGAAAAACGCAGCCTGTGGTGAAATTAAGTTAACTCCATGGTTTCAGATTATTGCCAATGATTTCCTCTTTAAATGGTGGGATAATTTAAATCATTTGAATCAGTTTGTTGACCATAAGAAAATACACAGAATGTGAATGTGAAAATGAATGGTTAGTAAAATACTGAGAAATTTCTCCACTTAGTAAACTTAACATAATTCTTTAAAAATTTGGTTCCCCATAAGAATTCGTCACTTGAAACATTGATAATTTACAACCGGTATTTGTATGGAAAATACAACCAGCTTGTTCATTTTATATCACACACCCCATATGTGTGCACCGCTATTTGTAAAAGACATCTGTGAGAGGTTATTGTAATATCGGGGGCAAATTAATGTTACCTGTCTAATCACATGGTCCTAACAAACTCTAAAAAATAAACGAAGCTCTTCATTTTCGGTATGTTGTGATAAATACTATCAGCACACTTGTAGAGAACTTTGCTCTTTACCAAATGCTTTATAAATCATTACATTTTTATCATAGTCTAGAAGAATGTGCAGTGCGAACTATTTGCTTAGCTACTTCAAAATAGTCCAAATTAACTTTCCATATGAGCAGATTAAATGTAGAGCAGGTTCAAGGGAAATTAAATGGTATACATCCTGATTTCTGTCATTCTGAGCTGATTTTGTGGTTTAATCATGCTGGAAGTATCTTGATACCAAAAGTCAAACTTCGCTTTTGGTAATGATACTTGTCAGGTTAAATCTTTTAAATAGTTTTTGCTGGTTAGTAACGTGTGCTTTCCGAATGACAGTGGACAGGCAGGCTCTTTGTAAAATGGAAATTGAGTCAATTGGGTGATACTCTACAACAGGATTTCTTAACCTTGACACTGTTGACATTTGGGTTGGATAATTCTTTGTTGTGAGAATTCATCCTGTGTGTTGTAGGATGTGTAGCAGCATCCCTGGGTTCTACCCACTCAAAGCCATTAACACCCCTCCCCCGTGACAGTCACGGTGACACCAGATGCCAAATGGCTCCTGGAGGTCACAGGCGCCCCCAGTTGAAATCCACTGTTCTACAAAGTCAGGCCATATTGTAGGGGGAAAGATTATAGTCCATGTTATAGATTTGGGTTATGGAATGTGTGTATATTCATATTTAAATTGTACCTTGACTAATGCACTTTCTAAAAGTCTTGCCATAGATTTCTCAGATCTGAAATCTTAAGACAGCCGTATTATCCTCGAATGTTGTATAATAAATAATGAAGAAAAAGAGAAATTATTTAACAAATGTTCTGTAAATTCAGTAGAAAAATTCATTTCTTGTTAACACTGAACAGTTGACTTAAAACTTCAGGCAAGACTGGTGTCAAGTATTAATTTTTCTGAAAAGCAAAAACAATAAAAAGAATTACCACATTTTAATATTGTGGTCTGGTTTGTTAAAACTTCAATCCCATCATTTAACCCTTTAATAAAGTTAGGGGATCCATAACCAGCAGCACCGGCAGACAGCGTACCTCAGCCCGCTCAGTAAATGCTCAGCCAGCATTAGGTGTTACCACCGGTGTTTTCTTGAAAGGCCTGGCCGGAACACGGGAGGATGAATGTTCTTTGACCTGATGAACCCCTTAGAACTCATAATTAATAAATAAGTAATAAATAATAAATAAATAATAAATAGTATATCTCATCTAGTTAAAATGGTAAATACTATTCCCCCCCAAAAAGTACTATCAAGATGTGAAGGAGAATGCCACACATTTAGTTTGAGTGACTGCTTTTTTTTTAATACAATTATTTTAATAAAATCAACCTAAATTCTTGGTCTTGCGGGGAAAAAAAATTTAGGCACTTGAAACTATGTAATAATATCTTCATATATCATCAACAGATTAATATTTTAATATTAATTTTAATATTTCATCTTTTTAAAGATGAAATGAAACTTAAATTTTTATCTTCAACTGCTTAAAGTTCATGGTCTCCACAATCTGTAACTGTCTGACAGCTCTTTAAGGGCCAGAAGTTGTCTTCTATACAACTGATTATTCTGGGGGCGCCTGTGGGGCTCAGTCGGTTAAGTGTCTGCCTGGTTGTGATCCCAGGGTCCCGGAATCAAGGTCCACTCCCCGCTCAGCGGGGAGTCTGCTGCTCCCTCTGCCCCTCCCCCTCCCCCTTCCCTCCTGCTTGTGAGGGTTCTTTCTCTCAAAATTTTAAAAAATAAATAAAATTGATTATTCTGTCCTCAAGCCTCTGCTGGCGAGAAAACCAGAGTGAAAACCAAGACGCTGTAGGGAGGGGGCACGTGTTACTGCCCTGCGTGGCCCCAGCCCCCAGCAGATGGGCACAGGCGCAGAACTCCGAGGCACGTGAGCAGGCCCCTGGGCTGCACACCATGTAATGCTCAGGTGGAGGTGGTCCTTCCGTCTGCTCCCCTGGGCACACCTGCTTGATGGTTTCATTCCCCCCAACACGGGTGGGCCCGTCTGGTGGGCATTCCCAGGGATGGGGAACCCCACTTCCTGTGTGGGTCTAGATGCCCACCCGGATCCCCCCTCTGCACATACGGGGTGTCTGGTGTTTCAGTACAGCCCGTGCCACCTCAGCTGGGTCCTTGTCAGCCTAAGCCTGTAGTTCTCACGTGTCACAGAGTGAACTTGTGCACATTTGAATTATCTTGACGCAACTTTGTACCTCACAGTTTCACACACTTACCTCTCACGCTTTAGACTCCCACATTTGTTTTTAAGATTTTGTTCATTTATTTGACAGAGCACAAGCAGGGGGAGTAGCAGAGGGAGAGGGAGAAGCAGACTCCCCGCTGAGCAGGGAGCCCGATGCGGGACTCGATCCCGAGACCCTGGGACCATGGCCCGAGCCGAAGGCAGATGCTTAACCCACTGGGCCACACAGGCGCCTCTAGACTCCCACATTTAAATCTCTACACAATTCTCCATATTCACATGGCCGGCTGTCTGTGACAACTCTTGTGTATTTGTTTTGAAGATTTTGAGTAATCTCTACGCCCAACAGGAGGCTCAAACCCAGGACCCTGAGATCAAGAGTCAGCCGCTCCACGGACTGAGCCGGCCAGGCGCCCCTGCTCGGATATTTAAACAGGATCTCATGATTCCACGCAGACCAAGTCCTGGGACGCACCACTCCTCCTGCTCTCAGGAAATGGCAACCCCTGTCCTCCTATCACCCAGGCTAAATACTTTGCAGTCACTTCTAACTCCCTTCCCCCTCACACCCTGTATCCAATTAGTCAGTAAATGCTTTGAATTAACCCGGATTTGAACTTTGAGTCACTTTTCCTGCTCCTTTGAATCGAGACAATCCCTGGACGGCCTCCTGACAGTCTGCTCTTGCCTCTTGATATCTGTTGCCAACACAGCAGCTGGCGAGTGTCCTCTCCCTCCTCAGCAGGCTCCAGAGGAACCCCCCCAGCGGCCTGCAGGCTCTGCTGTGCCCAGCACCGGGGTCCCATATACCCTTGACATAGATTTGTCAATTGTGAAGTTTGCCACATGCATATCTGCTCTCAAGATATTTACAACTTATTCCAGATTTAATGACATCTTTAGCATATAGCCAAGAAGACACTCTACATAAGCACAATCCAATTGGCACAAGGAAATTTGACACACACAATACTTTCATCTAAAATACAGCACCTGGGGGGCTCCTGGGGGGCTCAGTCGGTGGGGCGTCTGACTCTTGATCTCAACTCAGGTCTTGATCTCGGGCTCGTGAGTTCAAGGCCCGCGTTCAGCTCCACGCTGGGCATGGAGCCTACTTTAAAAGTAAATAGGGGGTGCCTGGGTGGCTCAGTTGGTGAAGCGTCTGCCTTGGACTCGGGTCATGACCCCAGTGGGCGGGGAGTCGGCTTCTCTCTCTGCCTCTCCCCCCCGCTTGTGCTCGCTCTCAAATATTTTTTAAAAATAAAATACAGTATCACGGAAGGAGAATTCTTCCTTTATCTTCAAGGTTTAAGAACTCAGTCGACATGAGACAGATTAACAGGAGAAAAAAACAAGTTTTCTTACGTGTGTGCAAGATGATGGGTTCATGAGGAACTCAGGATTTACAGGGTAAGGAAAATGGGTTTGGGAGCTTTAATTAGGATGGAATTCTAAGTAAAAATGTGGGCTGAGGTAAAAGATTAGGACAACAACAAGGTTTTACTTCTACAGCTTTCTTGGCTTCACAGGCCCTGTCATTTACTTCTCAGTCTGGGGCGGTGTTTTTCTGACGGGAGATTCATGTCCTGCATTCAGGGGACAGAGGAGGGCCTGAGGCGCTCCCAGCAGCTGTTTCCGCAGGAGCTTCGATCCAAAATGACCGGTACACTGGTGGCACATTCGGGAGCGGGGGGGGCCGCCCGGGTTCCCTACAACAGCTCACGTCTCCCCAGCTCATGTTCTCCATCATGACTTCTCCGTCCTCCCGCCCCCAAACTCCCGCAGCCACTCACACCCGTCTCTCCATCTCCATCAGGTCCCCAGCCCATTTGTCTGTCACGACTCTGACTTTCTAAAGATCCCACGCCAATTATTTTCCAAAATGCACTTTATTTTGATTTACCATATTGTTTCCCATGACTAGATTCAGATTAAACATTTTTGGGAAGAACATTACATAAGTAATATTGTGAACGTGGGGCTGCCAATATCTTTTCCATGTCCTGATTCCATTTCCTTTGGACAAATACCCAGTAGCAGAATTACTGGGTCATAGGATAGCTCTATTTTTAACTTTTTGGAAGAACCTCCACAGTTTTCCACAGTGGCTCCACCATCTTGCATTCCCACCAACAGTGCACGATGTTTCCTTCTCCACATTCTCACCAACACCTGTTGTTTCTTGTGCTGTTTTGTTTTTTTTAAGATTTTATTTATTTATTTGACAGAGACACAGCAAGAGAGGGAACACAAGCAGGGGGAGTGGGAGAGGGAGAAGCAGGCTTCCCGCGGAGCAGGGAGCCCGACGTGGGGCTCGATCCCAGGACCCTGGGATCATGACCTGAGCCGAAGGCAGACGCTTAATGAATGAGCCACCCAGGCGCCCCTGGACTTTATTTTTAGAAAGTTTTTATTTTAATTCCAGCATAGGTAACATACAGTGTTATTTTAGTTTCCGGTGTACAATGTAGTTATTCACCACTTCCATACAACACCCGGTGCTCATCACAGCAAGTGCGCTCCTTCATCCCCATCCCCTGTCTCACCCATCCGCCCACTGACCTCCCCTCTGGTGACCATCAGTGTGTTCTCTAGAGTGAAGAGTCTGTTTCTTGATT